GGTCGATGCCACCACCACTGCTGAGTCCCTGGCAAGCAGATGCCGGTGCCAGAGCTGGAGGCAGCATCGGGCAGCAGCAGCGGTAGTGGCATCGGCCTGCAGAGAGCGGTGAGGAGCACTAAGGGACGTCCCTGCCTCTGTCTCCCTCTGCCGCTCCATCCCTTTCCCTAACCGTTGGGGCAAAAGAGCTACAAAAAAGCAGCCTCTTCGCCACCAACAGTTAGTACATTTGAATTTCCCGCCTCTTTTCCTTGCCTAGTTTTGGTCGTAAGTGGAAGCTCCGGTCGCAAGTCGAAGCAAAATTTTGCAGCTGGAGCTGGTCATAACTCAAAATGGTCGTAAGTAGGGACGGTCGTAAGTCGAGGCACCACTGTATTCACAATAAACTATCTTATGCATTTAAAATGAGTCAGTGAAAGGCTTCCTTATATCTACACAGATACCCTCACAGAGTTGCTTTCTGTCTGATATTCATTCAAAAGAGGCTAATTGTTTGCAGATCTTCCTGCAACAATTGTGTGAAGGGTGGAGGTTGATCATATTTCCAGGCTTTTAATATAAATCTTTTTGCCACCACAAGTGCTCTCAGAATCCATGACTGGACAAAATTGTCAAGGGGAACCTTTACCTTTACCTTTTTAAAACTAGCTAAAATAAAGTTTCTCACTTAGAAAACAAAATAACGCTTTTTGTTTTGTTCTGTTTTGTTTTTTGTACTTAGAAAGCTAGGTAGTGCCAATTACTAAAAAATAATGTTAGTATTTAATTTTGAAGCCATAAAATTGCATGCACCATCTGAATGCCTGTCTAAATCTTTATTTGCTCAGGAAGCTTTCTGTTTAACATTTGCTTCACTGTGAAGAGCTGTCCTTGCAGCTACAAAAATAACCCATAAAATGTATATGTTACTCTGTTAGTTCTGCTACTTCCTTGACATTTTGGTCTGATACATGCACATGGTTTAGTTTTCAGAAAAATGTATTGAATTATGTGAGGAACATCTTGAACTGCGGGGGGGAGCACAGAGTAAGTAACAGAGAAGACTTGATTTCAGTACGAAAGGTCAAGGATCAAAATGTACCTTTCAGCACATAGTTACTCAAATGCCATATAGGTGAAAATAAAGTAACAGCATCCTTTCAATGCTTGTTGCTTGGTGAGTGAAGGCACACTTCAACACATTTTATAGCACGTTGGAATGAGACATAATAACATCCATAAATAACAACCATTTATAATATTGTGCTTTTCCTGAATTTTCTATGTTTGATATTGTAGTTTATTCCCACAGATCAATTAATTGATTCCAAGACTAATTGTTACCCAGTGTGGTGTAGTGGATAGAGTGACAAATGAGAATTTAGGAGGCCGGGGGTCAAATCCCCCCCCCTCAGCCCATGAAATTCACAAGGAAGGTTGGAACTGGTAAAACCACTCCTTAGATACCTCACTCACCTTGAAAGCCCTATTAGCTTGCAATAAACCACTAAGCATAGATTGCACTTTCTCTGTATCTAACCCCTTCATATCCTGGGCATGGCAGAAGAATCTGAGAATTGCCTGAACAATGTGCCAAGAGAACTCTGTTATCAGAGCTCAATTAATTATAGATCCTCCCAGTCAGATATAATCAATGGCAATCCAATTACAATTCTCTAGTATCATCTTTGTAGTGAAGTTTAGTGTACTCATAGCTTAGAAGAGCTGGGGGGGGATTAAGTACAACTTTCAGAATGTTCCATAGGTTCTGCTTTCTTCCATTATATATTAATGTTATAACATGAATTAGCCAAATTGTATGCAGCCTTGTGCAGAGCTAAACACAGTTTATGTAAACAAAGTTATCGGTGAAACAACGGTTAACATCTTTATGTACAAAGAGTTCTCTACTTGTCCCTAAATCACAGTGTGTGGTGTTGCAATTTGCAGTATTTTTTCATGGTGCTACCATTTGTTCGGTTCCCAACGATGAGAACATTTTAAAATGCAGTTTCCTCTAGCAGCAAGGAAACACTCTTGGAATCTGAGGCTTTCAGGAATAATTTGTGGCTGTTAAGGAAACTAGTGTTACAGTCAAAGACAGCTTATTGAAACAGAACAAAACAGACTGGGCTCACGTTAATCCTGGAATCTACTGCAGAGCATTTTGACAGGCTAATTTGAAACTCATTTTATTCTAAATAGAATGTGAAGACATTTTATTAGCCATTCCCTGAATGGCTATGAATGTCATTTTCTTGGTTATTCACCTTGTTCTGCATTAAAAGTTTTCTATAAAAGAGGTCTGTTATTGTTAGTTAATTTTTTCCCCTTTTTTCTTGAGTTGGGCTCAGTATTTTTCTTGGCTGTTGTTAGGATTTTTTTTAATTGAACAATATAATTTTGCTTTTAATTCTGTGCCATTTCCCCTTGGAGTAAATAACAAGGCAGAAGACCAAATGGCTGGGAGAATCTTCATCTGAGTGGAATTTATAGGCAGTGCTATGGCATTTGCATTTAGGACAGGCAAGCTGTGCGTTTATCTTGTGTGCTAAGCTGGAAGGGGCATCAAATAAACTTAGTTTGTCAGTATTTGTTGAGCATACAGTTTGTAGTGAAACCTTTAAAAAGCCTCAGTATGTTTTCCAACATTCCAGAGGTTATCTGGATGCTACCTGTGAAAACAAATACTGTACCCCCATACCTTTCAAGCATGTTCCTTTTTCAGATTTGGTGTTGCTTGCTCAAAATAAAAATCAGAGGAACTCAAAGGCTGCTTTGAATTAGTAGTGCTCATTAACCAGTTCATTTATCCTAGGATTAGCCTTGCTCATAGGGCTGCCATTAGTTTGCACTGTGTGTATTGGACATGAGTCTTAAAGTCTCCTGCTAGAGAAAGAGACAACTGCTCCTGCTGTTCCTCTCACCAGTGCTTTCCATGGAACTGCCCACTTCCCTACGTCATTTGCTGTTGCGTGCAGGGCTCTAAGCTTGGTGCTCACACAGTTGGTGAGGGAGAAGTGATGGACAAGAGTATCATAGTAGGACTGGGTGAGAAGGTCCCCCGTTATTTGTGCTGAGGAGGTTCAAAGAGCTCTGTCTAGTTTGTGGCTTGCCCCCTTCTAAAAAAATTGGCCAGCAGAACCTCTGTTAATTTCTGTAGATGTTAGGTTTTGCAGATTCACCAACTTCTGAAATAAGATACTTGGTTCTTACTTTTAAAAAAATTCAGGAAAAGGCTTTGTGGTCTCCAAAACAGTACAAATGAAGGAATAGGTGATGCCTCTATTAGACCACTAAAAAAAAATTCTACAAAACAGCAAAGGGGGAGATGAGGGGGACACAGAGTGCTTGGCGGCCTTTTGTTTAAAGAGAGATGGGTGATAAATTATAAACTGAAGCCACACTATCTTCCCCACAGACCTCTTGCAGATTACATCTCTTTCCATCTAGAAGCTAAATCTGGCCCTACAATGGCCATGAGACATTGGGGCTTTAATAAAAGCATATGATTTTTGGAACTAGCTGCAAGAACTTGATGCATAGCCAGAAGAAAATGAATTGTCATCGAAACTGGCTGATCGTTGATTGATTGAATATTTGTAGTGGTCTAATAAAGATATCACCTGTTCCTGCATTTGTATTAGTTCTCACTGTTCATTTAATAATTTAACCCTAGGTATTTGTATAACAAATAGGCAACACTGCATTTCTTTTAAACCCCAATTCCAGTTTGAATGAGTGGAGCATACTTTCACGGTCTGTAATATCAGCCATAGCATCTACTTCTGTCTCTCATAGTGTTTTGGTTACTTCATCAGTTTATGTACAAACATAGTCACAACAACATCAAATCAGTCACAGCAGTTAAAAGCAGTTGACCAGCTTTGTGATAGCTGTCTACTTTTTAGTTTCTATTTTATGTCTTGCTTCCTGTTTGTTTGTATATTTGTTTGCATTCTGAATGCCATGGAGCATTGACTCCACAAATGGAACACCACAGAGACTGAAACCCTTCCAACTTCCTGCATTAAAGTATTTATAATTTGCTTTCATTGCACATTAAGTGTCTGGCAGGCTCCGTTTGGGGCCTGATTCAGCGTTCTTTGTATCTAGTTATTTCTACTGCCTAGAATCAATTGGGGCAGGAGCAGTAATTCTTACAATGCCAGTAGTGGAGAAAATTCTTTAAAGGAACCAAATTTAGAATGCAACATTAGTAAATGTTTGCTTTATTTAAAAAAAACCAATTAATGCTTCATTGTATTTTAAAAAAACACTCCAGAGTACAATTCTGCCCTTCTCCTTTTCTCTCTTCAAAATGATCATAAGCTGCAGAGTCTGGGATTTGGACATGTGCAGTGTGAAGCCCTGTGCATATTTTCTTAGAACTTAGACCCATTACATTCAGTAGGTTTTGCTTTCCCCTAAGTGTGTCTAGTATAGCAGTGCAAATGTGTTATCTTTTCTGTTGAGATCAAATGTTGGTAAACAGTGCATAAACATGTGACAGTCAGTTTAGGACCCCCATGGACTTTGTTAGGACACATAGACACTCTAATCAGTTTACCACAGAGGAAGCAGTAACACAAGGATACCCACTGTGGGTGGGTAACGGACTAAAAATATTGAGAAGAGGGTTCAAATCCCCACTCAGTCCTGTAAACTCACTAGGGGAGTAGAACCGGTCACTCCTTAAATATCTCACTTACCATGAAAGCCTTATTAGGGTCACTATAAGTTGGTTCTAACTTGATGGCACAGAACAACAACAACAACAACAGCAGCAGCAGCAGCAGCAGCAACAGCAGCAGCAGCAACAACAACAACAACAACAACAACAACAACAACAACAACAACAACAACAACAATGCATGTAATTCAAACCTGGATTAGATAAAGTGAACACTGATGTGATTGAGATTCACCAGTTTCTTTCTTTTCTCTATCCCTCAACATCCAAGATATTTCCATCCAATACCAAGGGACATGACTAAAATATTCCATTTTGTTTTCTGCAGGAAAACTGAAGACTTCAGGAACAAACTCTACAAAGTCAAAATGAATACAGGTAAGCTGTTTTTAGCGGGAACAGAATGTGAAAGAATTTTGCTATTTGAGAAGACAGTGGAAAGGCAAAATAGAACCCTCTTAAATTATCATGGATAAGATATTTCAATTTGTGTGCACAGACACTCTATGTGTGTTTCAGTATGTATAAATACATGCATTTATACATGCGTACATATGTATGTGTATATGTGTGTTCCATTTCAATATATTTTCAGCCATTCAGTAAAATATATTGGGGCACAACGCACATATATATTGTCCAACACAATGGCATAAATCAATACACTTGATGGTATACTTTATATTTAATTGTAAAATGATTCTATCCAAGCTTGCATTTTTAAAATGCATATTTTTATTTAGGATATTTTAATAGATGCTCATAAATTCTGTTTGAAATATGACTTCTATTGCTTTTGTAAATTAATATTTTTAACAGGCATCCTCCGATGCGGTGGCCAGCAGTGATGACAAATGTCTTTTTAGTTGATCATAGGTATTCATTATAGAATGGTTGCATCTTGCTTTTCTTTCTTCTTTCCTCAAAGGACGTTAAATGTATAGTGAATGCAAATAAGCAGGGCAGTATCAAGGAACAATAAATTATCAAATATTATAATAGAAATACTGAAATGAACAATTTGAACTACAGCGCAGGAGTACTGTTGCAAACGTAGGAATGGCTTTTTTGGTCTTCAAGAAGTATCTCACCAGAACCCAATCTTGCTAATTCATGTCTCGGATCTGAATTCCTCCACTCCGGCCTTCTTTTTTCTAGGTCTTTTTTCCTATCTCCTTCTGGGAGTTCTTAATTACCTTTTCGCACATTATCTGTTGCCAGGATGAATGATGAATGAACATATGTATCAAGGGTTTAGTTTCACAGTTGAACACATCTGCTGATTTGCCTCTCTCGCTCAGTAAAGTAAAAGCCTGCAGAGGTGTTAAATATATCAAAAAGAATGGTCCAGATACAAGGTGTGAGTTAAAGAGATGGTCATAGTTTCTTGCATGAAGTAATTACACAATAGAAAATTATACTCTGGAATGGAAAAGGAGAACCCTTATACCAAATCGAACACAATGCTCCCAGATAGCCACTGAGGGGAGATATGCATCCACTTGAGTCCCATTCAATCCTCTCATTGCCACTAATCTGTACAGGACCAACTGGGCAAGCTGGGATACCCCTTCCCTAGAGGAAAGCCACAGCTACAGGGAAGCCTCTAGATGACACTCACCCATCCCCCACCAGCATCTGATCCTGATCCTCTTCACTAATTTTGGGTTTTCTTCCCCACTTTCCCATCTGCCAGTAGTGACAAAGGAATATTGCTCAGTCTTGAAACCGGAAATACATGAAACAAAGATGTAACATTGTGATGAATGAAGAGTCACAGACAGTCATAACTGATGAAAATATTCCACCAGGGAAAGAAGGGAAAACATGCCACTATATGAAAAAAAAAGAAAGAAATCCTTCCCAGCCTCCCCCCCCCCCAAAATGGTCTGCAAAAATCTGGGGAATCCTAGGAAAGGGGAGAAAGGACGTAGCAAAGGACTGATAGATTCCTTGATGGGCTAATAAGTCTGGCAAGATTAGCGGGCCTTTCAAGAGCCAGCACAAAGTATGTACTATGAGGCTGACTGGCTTCATGAGACTTTGCCCACAATTTCCTCTTTTTTGGAAGTCCCATAGCACTGAGAAAATTTCCTGCCATCACAAGAACTCTGCAGACCCACTTGGGTGGTAAAGGAATCAGCAGCAATGCTTGCTCCCTTGTCAACACTATCTCTTGGAGTGTGTGTCTTGGCTGTTGTTTCCAACAAAATTTTGCAAAGCTATCTGCCTCATATATAAAATGACCTCCCTCACACTAGATTGGAAAAAAAACCACTTTCTCTAACTTCAACAAGAAAAAATGGTTTAAATCTAAACACTTGAGCTTAAATCTAAATAATTTAGTGTGGTTTAGATCAAGCTTCACCTATATCTTGCTGCCTTCTAAAGAAGCAAAATTTCAAAGGATGTATAAAGTGAGTATAATTGTTTTCTACATGGATGTCTTAGGAATAGGTAAACTTACTTAACTGTCTCTTTCACAGATGGATAACAAATGGGTCGAAGTTAATTTGCTGAAATGGATCCTTAGTGTCCTCCCATAAATATTTCAGGCAGTAATGTACAAGGATAATATGCTTGATAAATCCATCTAATTTAGAAATGATTAAATAAACCACTGCTTTATAATGAGTGAAAGTCATAAATACAAGCCAGAGTAAAAGCATGGAAAAACCTCAGAAGCTACAAAAATCCATGAGGCTTAACTTTCTGAATGTTAAGTCATCAGGATGCAAACATCTTCCAATTTATCCATTTTGGGTTTAAAGCAAAGGAATGGAGCAAAGAAAAGCTGCAGGTTCTGTGAAACCAGTCAGCAGTCAGTTTGGAGGAGCATTTTTCAAACTTACATTAATATGCACTGTTGAGGCTTAACTGCTCAAAATGCCACTTGCCTTTGATGAGAACCCTGCTCTTTCATGGACTAAATGGTTAAGCAGTACACATGGGTTGTAGACCTTTGAAGATTGGTTGAAGAAGGCCTGGCCAAGACATTTTGCTCCCTTTCCAGCTGTAGAACAACAGCTGGACTTTTGCACTGGTGAAAGGACAGCATGTTCCACCATACTTGAAGAGAGCAGGCTAGCTTAGGGAGCAGAAGACAATCTCCTAGGGAGAAGAATGTGCAGGTCCTTATTGCTACTGCCCCATACATACTGTTCAGAATTTACTGCCTGAAAAAACGGCCTTGTTCTTCTTCAGGTCCGTCTCTGCCCTTCCTATTGCAAAAACGTCAATATACCCTGGCAAAGACTTATAAATGAATCTGGACTTTCCTTCACTTCAGGAGATTTGGCCCATGCAGACAGCTTCTCCATCCTTATATAGAATTAGATCTGAGCAATGTAACTATTTTATGCAGTTAAGGAATGAGAAGTTGTGCCACAAAGTATATGGGAAGCATGGAAGCCAAATGTACAGGGCACTAATATTATTTTTCTCATGTTTCCTGAGTGAATTCTATATTTGGTCTCTTGACAGATGTTCACTGTCAGCTTATCTTGATGTATGCAAAAACATTGATTTCCTGAGCTGGCAATTTCAAAAATTGTTTATCTCAAGGCTGACTTTGTTCTTTCACAAAGAGTGGGTTAAATAATGTGCACATTTAACAAACCTGATTGATGAGACAATAATAGCTCCAGAGTGCTTCTGAGGTTGCCTGACCCAAGAATGATTAGCCCTTGAGCTGGTTTCTCCTTTGCATGGTCAGCCTAAGAGGAGAGAGTTCTACTCCCTGTTGGTTTGTCAGAAAAGCAGGTGTAAACAGCCATACAGCTCATGACATCCCCTGTATTGCAGGAAGCATAGCCAATAACTTTCTGTTCTCCCCTGGCCAGAGGGGCACAGTTCTGAAGAGGAAGATGTGGGACAGGCACTGGAAACAAACTGGAATAAAGTATCCCAGTCTACTCTTGATAATTTGGTATGCTAAAATGGAGGGTGGTTTACTTCCAGTTTGTCCAGAATGCCAGTGTTCTATAAATCTGATCCTGTTTCTTTGATACAATTCTTTCTAACTCATGTCCTACCTTTTTCTCTATATACATTAAATAATAAAAATTTGGATTGCAGCTTATTGGAAGCATTTCTCCACTGAGAATTCTTCCTAACAACATCTCCAAAATCCACATAAGAGCAGATAAACTGACAGATATGTCTTTGCATATTTTTAATAACTGTATATTAGAATAGTAAGAGAATAGTTTTAAATGGGAGCATATTGAAAATCCAAATCTTCCAGATACAGATTCGCCAGGTACAAAATTCCCACATTAATTCCAATTAGAATAGCTAAATTTCCCATAATTTAACCAGTTACATCCATAAGTCATTGATAATCCCTTGTTACGAATTCATATTGAATTCAGTGAAGAAAAGAATTTCACCAGCTTTGAATTCTAGAGTTTGGGATGTTTCCCTCCTTTACTATAAAATACTGTATACAGATTAGTTATACATGCTGTGTCTTAATCTTCCTAAATCGTTTGGGAAATGACTGGATGAAGAGTGGGGTGTTTCTTAACCATTTCTGTCTCCTGTTGGAGAGGGGTCACAGAGAGGAGGTTGGTCCTGTTCTGTTTTACAAATTTGTATAATGGTGCTCCATGAATGAACACGCCCAGCCATGTGATAAAACCTGAGTTTACTATATAACAAGGTCTGTACTGTGTGTTCCTCACAGTACCATTTATATTAAGGTAATGTGTCACTTTTAATCCTCCATTTTAGTTTCTTTTTGTGGTGAGTTAGGTATACAGACATGATCTTTCCAATACTAGAAAGCACACGATAAGTCTCTTGGCTCGTGTATTCTTTGGGATGGCAGTATTAATTAACTACAGCTTCCTCAACCCTTCGGTATGTATGTACAAATCCTTAAGGATCAGCAGCAGTGTCTTAACTGCATGACTTTTACGTCTACATTTACCTATCTTACTTAACTCCACTTGCTATGTTGCATGTGCTTGCTCTCTATGTTGTGGGCCTGTGCCTGTCTCATTTTGTGCTTTCAGATAGTGGTGGGTGTGCTCGCAAACGTGCTGCCATGTCTGTCAAATTAACAACTGTGAAGAGAGTTCAGAGTTCTCCAAACCTATTGACTGCAGGTATAACTATTAATCGTGGAACACCACACTTGAATGCCATTGTGTTATATATTTGTATCATTTTGTGTTAGAGCTGAATATCATAGTCTGTTACCAAGGTGGATGAAACCCTTCACAACTCCTACTATGAGAATTTTATTCATGCGTACATGTTTTGGTTCTAATGATATAATTTTAGGGTGGGTCCTTGTAGGACTTTACTCCACTGTATGTTGTGTAACTCAGAACTCAACTTGAAGCAGCTGAAAGCTTAGGTGAGGCTCAACTGCTGAATGCACTTTCCGTTTCTGCATTCATGTAATCTAATGGCCTTTGAGAGTATAAGCTTTTTCCTGAAGAGAAGCAATGACATGTGTTCTCCACAAGTCTAAATTAAGTGAGAAGAACTTCCAGCCCAAGGGTGTTACTTACAGGCACACTACTGATAATTCTTAATTTAGAAAATAAATATAGGAGGAAACTTGGTAAAACAAACACTTGTGGAAGATCTTGCTGATTAAACTCACCACAATCTATGCTTTGATGTTCATACTTAAGTCATGTCCAAATGAGGGTACATAGTTTGTGCTTAAACAGTTCTTATCTTTAGTGTGATTTATATCTCTAATTTGAGTGATTCTTCTGTTCGCATGGATCAATATTTTTTCTCCCATTAGAAGGATCCAGACAGGTCTTTGGATCCTTCCAATTGTACCTCTTTCAATTAATGACACACCCCTTCCTGCTCCCTCTCCAGAAACCTGTCTCAACCCACAAATACCGAGGAGTAGACAAGGTATAAACCTCCATTTATTGTTGGACTATAATTCTCGTTAGCCCCAGCTAGCATAGCCACTGGTGAGGAATACTGGGAATTATAGCCCAACAACATCCAGTGGGGTGCACTTTGTACATTCTTGATTGTAGACACAAGTAGAGGCTTCCTTGAACCATCAAAATATGTTACTTCCCCAGCACAGGAAATGGTGGTTGCTCACTGCACTGGAATGTTAGTTGGGTTGCAAATCTGCATATATCCAAGCCTTGGCACAGTGGGGTCTTGACTTGAGAACTTAATCCGTATTCGAAGGCGGTTCTCAAGTCAAAAAGTTCTCAGGTCAAATCTGCATTTCCGATAGGAATGCATTGAAAACCATTTGATCCGTATCTGCTCTTTTCCGTCCATAGAAACTAATGGGAAGCTGCGATTCCGCCTTCGACCACTAGAGGGGGATATTTTGTTTCTTTTTTTTCTTAGGTCAAGAAAGGTTCAGGAAAGGCAGGGAAAATACAGTCCAGGCAGTGCAGTACCAGGCAGTCTGAAGACTGTCTCCCAATCCACTCTCTAAACACTGGGAGGAGTGAGGAAGCAGACAGGCACCCTTTTCACTGGCCAACAGTTAACTGAAAGTTCACATTTTGCACTTTCCCTGCCTCCCACGTGGGTTTTTTCAGTTCTTAACTCAAATCTAAGTATGTAAGTCAAGTCAATATTTTCCTATGAGAGTGGTTCTTAAGTCAAAATGTTCTTAACTCGAGCCGTTCTTAAGTCAAGACCCCACTGTATAATAGATAGTTTACCTTTGATTCCTAAATTATCTATGGTAGCCATCATATGGTTGAGAAATAAACATGTACCCCAGAATATTCAAAATGGTGTTTGATTATTTAGAGGTTTGTAATGTGTCAATTTCTCTGAATGAGGGAGGGAAGTCAGCCCAAGTGAGACCCACAGTCAGGCATCACTGTTGAGGCTCCAGCTTTCCAGTGCAAATGAAGGGGACCAGTGGTAGGAGGGACACCCACTATGCATCACTGCTAATGCAGGAACATAAAAACAACATGTCAATAGACTTAAGTTCATGTAACACCAAATTTATAAATATATTTCCTTTAAGGGATTAGAGAGATGACTGTGTTATGAAATACATGCAAGCTTTACTTTTATATATATATATTCTATCTGTGTTTGCTCACCTGGGGGAAAACCCTATTTAAAACCCTTGGCCAAAAAAAAAAAGGGAAAGAAAAGAAGAGTCATTATCATGTTCACTATAAAACAGCAGTCTAAATGTCTCATAATGCATATCAGTAAGATATATGAATGTTTGACCAAATTTTTATTAGAGATCGCTTTCACACTTTGTTCCCAAATTGGAAGCAATGTAGTGTGTGTCGTATTCTGAGTGCCCTTTAGATTGCTAAATTGAAAAGTCTTCCCTTTGGCTATTAAAAGATAAAGTGGAGATCAGAAAATTAGCAGGGGCCTTGCCATTAAATTTCACCCTTGGCTAAATTTTGCTGTAGAAATTGTCGAGCTAGAAAATGCAGCTTGCTGTTTTAAACATTTACAATGCCAAAATGATAGAAGCAATGGCTTAAGGTTATTTTGTTAATAACACTAAAACTTTTTTAAAAGAATGTGCATTTTGAAATGGCACAGAGAGCTGAGGGTTTTGAAACCATATCCATTGTTCCTCTGTACAATTATGACAATAAAAAGCTCTTTACATACTCATATTCAGTGGTAATAAGTTTTGTAAAAACCACTATAGAGTGTAATGCATTGAAAAAGAAGAAAATGCGGTAATTAATAACTAAAATCAAATACTGTAGATCAAAAATAACTGTTAGCTTTTGTCTACAGAAACTATTTTGAATGAGCCACAAGCATTGATTTGCCCTTGACTGCCCTTGATTTACCTCCTGTGCTGTACATAGATAGCAGAAAAGAAATGAGAAATTGGTGTATATTTTGTGGCTATTTTATAAGGAGGCATCAAGAAGTTTACAAAGGAAAAATGCTTAGTTCCATCATGAAACTTTCCCCCCCTCAGCATAGAACAATTACCAGCTTGAAAGAGATTAGCATCTATTGGTAGACTGGTTCCTTCAAAATTGTCTCAAAATATTTTTCAATATTTTCTCAAGTATCTTTGCATCAAAGACAGGAAATATAGGTGTGTGTATTTTGTTGGGTTTTTTTAAGGTTTTAGTTAGTGTGTTATCACCAAGACAGCCATTGAGCTCACTGATCTTTAAAAAGTTAACTCTTTCTTACTATCTTCCCTATCTCTTATTTGTATAATTAACTAAAGACTAGTAATGTGGTGTGGATTCCCAGTGTGGTGTAGTGGATAAAGTGATGGACCAGGACTGTGGAGAACAGGGTTCAAATCCCCAGTCAACCATGAAAAGTGACTGGGAGAGTGGAACTGGTAAAACCTTTCCTTAAATATCTCAATTACCTTGAAAGCTCTACTAGGGTTGCTATAGGTCAGTTCCGAGTTGATGGCACAGAACACACACACACAGTGATAGAAGCAGCACCCCTGCTTCCCTGCCCCACCTTTCTGGGCGCTGACTCTGAGTGGGTGCCCACCTAAGGAGTTGAGAAGCACCGAACACTTGATTGGCCAAAAAATGAACAGGCATGAAAGACCAAACCAGCAGTTCATGCCCATCTCTAATTTCAAAAGTTGACTGAGAGGTGAAATTTTTAGCTGCATGCTCTTCAGCGCAGGCAATGCTGGATTGTCAGGAAAAAGCAAATAGAACCAATAGAAAAGTAGGATAAGTAGCCAACGATATCTCTCCATAGGGACATTCGGCCTGCTTTCAACAAGAACCTGAGCTTCACAGATTCTGTCTTTTAATTGCAAGACAGTGATAGTTCGGTAAAATGGCAGTATAAGATCTCATTCTAGAGTTTTGCTGACAGTTCATCCTTCATTGCATCTATTTTTACCCAGCTGCCATTATACTCATAGTTGGCTGCCCTGGTTTTAACTTAACCCATTCTTAAGCACTATAGAAACAAGCTTTTTTGTGTCTCAAGATACTGTGCATCTTCCTCTTGCTAATAAAGCATAGTTTAAACTAACCACAATTTATCCATGTTGGACATAACACCAAATCATAATTCAGAAATGGTGGCTTCCAGTCCGTTCACAGCCAGGTCAGAGGAGAGAGCATGAACCCCAAACTTTTTTCTTTATTGCTAAGATATGGTTTAGGATTCTTCCCAAATCAAATTAGTGTGACACTGGGGTAAAAGTATTAGGTGCCATTTTCAAATGCATACTGGTGAAGAGTTATAATCAATATGAGAGAAAAGTTTGGCCAAGGAACGAAAAGTAGATGAGTGATCTAACTTGATCCTGTTAATGTTTGCTTAGATGTTGTGACATTTACCCCGTGGCCCCTGCTTGTTTCACCAAACACAGAGCTCACAGGAGTATCCCAACACGCCCTTTAACACGCTGCCACCAGTTGATCTCTCAACCTATATTTCCTATGAAAGACTGAGGTCCATTCAGTACTGAACTTTTAAACAGAAACAGGTTTATTGATTACAAGTTTTTTTAGGAATAGTTCTTAAGCACATTCTTAAAGTTACACAAAGCTTCGCTATTTTGCTTTAACCTCTTCTATCCTAATTAATACAGCTCACACTCTGACTAATCACTCTCTCTGCCTCAAACCCCTAAACTCTTTTTCTCTTCTCTGTCTCTCTGACTCAGCGCCCTGACTCTTTTTTCTCTGACTCTTCCCTCCCTCCTAGTTTCTCTGGCTCCGCCTCCCAACAGCTCATTGGTGCAGGCCAATACCATTATATATATAGGAAGACATGCCGACAGATGTTAATTCCACAGAATTCAGGAAGATTTGCTCCTAAATATGTATGTTTAAAATAATAGTCCTTAGGAGAAAAAAGCTGCTTACTTTGGTGCAATAGTACCATTAACTTCAAAGTATATATATGAATCAATACATTTTGGTAATTTAGCTGCCCTAAAATTCACACATGTAATCACAGAATAAGATAACTTCCTTGCCAAAACTTCTTATACATTAACTTTGACATTTTCTTTTTCTAGGACTTGATGCTCAGTCACCAGATTCAGGTAAATGCAATTTTATTTCATGGTGGTTATGCAATAGCATTGCTTGTGAGTGAAATAAACAAAGCATGCTTTTACCTGCTATTGTTTTCCTACATAAACCTTACTAATTTAGAGAGCAGTCTAAACTTTGAACTAGAGATCCTCTGTATGATCTTAGGGCATTTTATTAAATAGCTTTGTATTGTGGATAACAATTTTTGCTCCTTTTTTGGTAAGTTGCTTAAATATAGATAACTCACCAAAAAGAAATATGCCCTACATTATATCTAATTTCCCCTACATTATATCCCATCGTTTCTTAGTAATTTAAAGCACAAAGTTCTTGAGATTTTTCTGAGCTAGTATGTGGCAATGAAACACTGGAAATAAGATTAGTCACTGGACCTAACCAGTGAACTGCTCACAGATGAATGTGGTAGGTTCCTGCCTGCATATAGGCTCTTCATGTGAGAAAGGACCGCTTTTTCAGCTTTTTTTCTGAGTTAAAGGAGAACACACTCAACAAAGAGAGCAAAGATTTAAATTTTAAAAATGAAAACTGTCACATCTTTGTGTCAGTATGACACATGTACTTCATTTCAACTTGAATCCATGGCCCAAGGACAGAAATAGAAATCAATTCAATTGTTTTGTTTGTATGTGGAGCCTGCACATGATGAGGGGAGCATGCTTGTCTCATCCGCTCTCAGTATCACCTCAGTCTGAAGGTGAAATAATCTGAAGAGGGAGAAGCTTTTATGCCTTCCTGACCTCTCCATGTGAACAAGAACCTGGCTCACACAAAGAAGCAATGCAGTTAAGGCAGTATTGTCATTTTCAAACTGTTTTATTTTTCATGATTATTGGAGGGAGGTAAGGCTATTGCAGTACCCTCACTATATGTGAGCTCCACACAGAAATTGAACAACTCAGTAGGGTTCAGGAATACACAACATGTGAAAGATCATGAAGTGATTTTTTTTTGTCTTGCTCACTCCATTTCATTGACTGCTACTTGTGGCCATGAGGAATCCATAGATATTTTAGCATAATTCAGGAGGAAGACAGGCTATTGGACGAATGTTTTGACAGGAGTCCCTGCCACCTGCACAAAACATGAGGCCATGATCCTAGAGCACCTCTAAATTAGTTCCATATAGACAGATATCCTAAGAACCAACCCGAACAGGATAGTTAAATACAAGAGCAAAGACTGAAGGATTTGAACCTTACTAAATATGTGAGCATATCCCAAACTGAACAGGTATATACTGTACTAATATAATACATATATACAATATATGTTAGTATATATGTCTTTCATCTCAAGAGCTAAACACCTGTGTAAGATTTATCTCATTTTATCCAGGCAAATGAGAGCCTTAGCTGAGTGGGAATGTCTTCCTCTCTGGCAAGTAATGAAGTTTCATGATTCAGGATTATTGTAACTTGACTTCCCACCTGCCTGGCCAATCCTGTAGCCACTGTACTATGTTTACAATGCAATCCTATACTTGTCTATTCAGACACAAATTCCACTGAGTTTGGTTGGACTTATTGTGATTTAGAGAGGCACAGGATTGCAGCTGCTGAAGATATCAGACAGAGGTATATTTACAAACTCACTTATTCATTAAAAGCGATACCCTTATGAAACCGTTGCTTCCTAATTCATTTCTTCTTAATACAGTATTATTAAACGTAACTTTTTCTAGTCATTTGTACAAATGATTTTTTAAAAATCGTCTGGCTCACAAGCTTACAATCTAATTGACACAATACAGAAGGGATACAGGAGACAAAGGAGGTTCAGCGGCAACTTCTTCATGAAATTATATTAAAATGTAATTTGGAGGAAGACAGTGATTCTGGGAAATAGAACAATTCAGGTGTCAGGTTGTCTCAACCACACCAGTGGAATGGGCCTCCCTGTCTCATCTCTTCCTCTTTTATAATGGAACTGTATGAGTGTGCTCTTCCATTGCTGACTTGTACACATTTCACCCCTTAAATTTTTCACATTGGTGCCAGGAGCTGTTTTACATAGATTCAAATCACAGCATTTAAACAAACTTCCACCACCTCATTCAATTATTACACAAAGAGAACAACCTTTTAATCAGAAATAAATGTGCTTGGAATTTTTTTTCATATGAAAGCTTGGAGATCATTTAACAGTGGGAGTAGAGAGACACTGAATGGAGACACTAGCAGCTCCACTCTTGCAGCAAAAGGCTTTCGAAGTGTCCGGCCAAATCTACAGGAAAAGAAATCGCCAACTCAGGTAAAATGGCAGATATGCAGAGTCATGTTTTGGGTTCATATGAAGTTCTGAAGTTCAGTACTATGAATTTACAAACTAGGCATGGGCAGTTTCTTTCAGATTATTGTTTCCTAGATGCATTCTTAATATACCTTGTATCAATTTGTGGTACTGTCTCTGTTATATTAGTCTGGTCTGAATGCACAGCTGATAGTTTGGTCATGGACTTTCCAAAAGTAGAGCACACACACTAGGAAATGTTCACTAGGTTTAAACTGGGGTGATGTGTCCTTAATTTTCAGGTATTTTACCATAATGTTTTCATTATATTTAAATTTAATGTTAATTTTTAAAATATTTTCAGGTCATTTTTTGCATTATGCTTTGTTAGAAGTACCTGCATTAGCAGAAGTGTGACATGATTTAACCTTGTAACAAAAAGCACAGCACTTGACTAATCTGGAAAAATTTATCCATTCTTCAGTTGATTTCAAATACTTTCCCCATGCTATAACTGTAAATTGTTAGAAGCATTAAAATGATGCTGATTAATTCCAATGAGAATGTCGCACAGTAACCCATCCTGTGCATGCTAAAAGCAGTTGTTTATGATTTGTATGACATGGTTCTGATAACCAAGAAGATAGATCCTAAGGGTGGAAATGCCTCATATTAGTACTATCAGTACTGACTATACGTAAAGGCTTCTTAAGGTGCAGTCATAAGGGGTACACTTGATTTCTACCTCCAAATCCCCTGCACACAGTTCTGTGTCCTTGTTGGCAGTGCTGGTCGGAATGGATGGTGATAGGCTACCCTATCTCCCTACCAAGCCAATGACCCCAAAGGATTGCTGGGGTGGGATAAGATTCATGCTCCCTGATTCCAATCCTGGTTGGTAGAATTGTGATACGTGTGCTCCCTCCCCCAAAAGCAGCAAGACTGAAAAAGTTCTGCACCCTTTACTGGGGAGAATTTTCTTCTGAGTAAAAATGTGTAGCATTGCAGTGACAATATATGCATGGTGGTTTTTCAGACATCAGAACAAAATACCATCCTCTGGAATGTTGACTCACTTGGCTGGATGTGTGTTAGTATCTCTTTTATAAGCAACACACCATAACTCAAGTTTATTTTCCTGCTAATGTTTTGCTTTCTCTCTCTCTCTCTCTCCTCTAATATTATTTTGCTGTGTGGATGCTTTTGGCAACTAAGGCACCCCCACTACCTCCTAGGAAGGAAAGTTTGGGTAGATCTGGAATAACTAATCAAAAGAAGAGTGTAAATAACGTTGGGTTCATAACAACCAAACAGACTAAGAAATCTCCTCCTGATGCTGACTACTATACTAATAATGAACTTCATCGGAGGACAGTGCATTCTAAAAAATCTAATGCTGGTGTGTCTTACACACACAGAATTACTAAACCACTGACCCTGGTGTCTAGCACAAAAACAATAGCTGGCATTCGAACTACTGTTCGTCAAGGCCACAAACAGTCTCAAAAGCGTAGAGTCTGTGCCCTGAAATTAACTCAGGCACGCAATGCATCTAGTAGAGTTCCTTCTCATACACAGCAACAGCCTGTGCCTGCTGAAGCATCGGCAACTTCACAGAGGTCAGCCTCACCTGCCTGTAACCCTGTCCCTGAGATACAGAAAGCATCACTCTCCGTTCAGATAGCTCCCATCCCTGATACGAAAGCAGCGCCTGAAAGCCAACAACATCCACCTAGGCTTTCTCCAGACACTTCCAAGACGCCTCCAAACAATATGCATCCAATGCCTACAGCTCCTTCTGCACAGTCCACAGAATGCAATGTGGTATATTATGTTTTTCTCTCATTTTTATTTTAGATCTTTCCTGTGTCACGTAACCTTTTTCTCTTTAGTATACTCACCTGGCTTTGATTAGTATCTACAATTCTTGGGTAAAACTACCTGTCTTCATATTAAAATAGGGACATGCTACTTTTTTAAAATTAGTTTTGAAATTAGGCTCTGGCCCACCTTTATGCATGAAGAGCAGAGAAGAGTGTGTGATTTACATAGTTTTCAAGAAAGCAGTCGATTGGTTTCCATGATAGATCCTGGAAAATTGTATACTGTGAGGAAGGTATTCCGTGGAATGTGAAGGTTGTGATGAATAATCACTAAATTCCCCATTCTTGTTGATTCAGACTATCTCAACATGAGGAGACACCCTGAGGAGGAATTTTCAAAAAAAAAACCCCAATGATTATTTCTCATCTCTAGCATGGGAATGAGACATGCAGCACTATTTTCTCTCTCTCTTTTTTGACATGTTCTCTAGGATCTAAGCACACTCTTTCAGCATAAAACTAGTGTCCTTTCCCTTTTAAAATCAAACACACACAGGCAAAGCACTCCTAGAACAACCAGAACAACTCATTGATCATTCACAACATACAAACAACCCATTACTTGCCTCAGATCTTCAGAAGTCTATGCTACAGAGTAGCAGCCATTGCCATTTTGCACAGTTCTGCAGTTTGCACAAGTGTTGATCTTGCTAATGCAAGAATTAAGAGTGCCAGAAAGGATTGTATCCTCTCAAAAGTGAGGAGAACAATGCATGAGGATGAGACAAATGAGGATGAGACAAACGGGATATAAATACTATACTAAGTACATTTTCCAAATGGAGCTCTGTGGAGGGATTGTGCCTCATTGAGGTAGGGTTCCAGACTCCAGAGAAGCATGTCTGGTCTTCTAATCTTTTGTCTAGTCTTCTGTATATGCATTCAGTGGCAGAACTTGGAAAAGGTATCATGTGGACTTCAAATCCCAGAATTCATAGCCATACTGGTTGGCAAATTCCGGGATTTGTACTTTTAAAAAACTGTTCCATAACTGTGCAGTTGTGAATCTACATAACCTGCATGCTGTTATGAGACAATGCCCTTTACATCAGAATGTATATTCCCTGAATAGTGAAGTAAGTGTGCAATATTTCTTTTCTCTTTCCCAAACTCTTATTCTAGTTCTCCACTTCTGATACACTAGAGTAAAAACCAAAGCAAAAAAAAATGTTTTCAGTCTTGACCAAAGAAATGCTTTTTAACAGGTTTTTCCTGTTAAATTTCCTTAAATTGTAGTTTCATCATGACTACATATATATTGTAGTGTTATATCTCCTATATGGATGAAGATATTTATGTTAAGAAGAAACTCCATTTTGTTGCAGGAAAGAATAATATATAATATAACTATTAATTTCAGAATCAGACTTCAGTTTCAAAATCACCTTGTCATGAAAGAGGGAGCTACTTTTCTAGACATACTAGTTTAACTTTCACAACCACCATCTCCCTTGCATACCCAAAATTAATTATGCTTTTTTAAAAAAGTCATGGCTTTTGCCTTTTGATTCTCTGAATTTTGGACAAAAATGATACGACCTCCTTCCAAAAGATTGACCTAGAGCAATAAAAGCAATAGCAAGAATTATTTCACGTGTTCCTAAAGCTTCTTTTGCAGCATGGTATATTGAGTTTTTATATTATTAATCTTTATAACCATGCTGTGAGGTAAATTTATTGGCTTATAGATGCACTCTCCATATCATCTCAATCTAGCAAGAACTTCTTTTGTGTCATCAGGGCATGAAGAGAACAATGAAGATATTTTAAATATTCCTTCCTTACATAATATATTTACCCTTTTGAGTTGAGATCTTCACAAAAGGCTTTCTTCTTATAGCGTGCTGCTGTTTGTGCTTTGCAAAATATTTTATACAAGGCATCAAACAATTTTTTATTTTATTTATTTATTTGATTTATACCCCGCCCATCTGGTCTAAAAGACCACTCTAGGTGGCTTCCAATATAGTAAAAACAGTGAAATAATACAAAAAAACACAAACAATTGCATAAATCATATTGTAATAAACAGAATACAACAATAGAATAGAAAATACATAAGGAGAGAATAAACAGAGAAGTCAGATATTAACTGGAGGGAAGGCCTGAATGTATAGCCATGTTTTTAATTGACTTTTAAAAGTGTCCACAGTGGGGGCCACGCGGATCTCAGGAGGGAGATTGTTCCAGAGGCGAGGAGCCACCGCTGAGAAGGCCCGGTTTCATGTCCTTTCTTTCCGGGCCTCCCTCGTTGTTAGGCTCCTCAGCCTCACCTCCTGGCTCGTGCGGGTGATCCGAGTAGATCTAGGTGGAAGCAGGCGTTCTGTCAAGTATCGAGGTATCAAGTAAGGTAAAGGTAAAGGTTCCCCTTGACATTTTTGTCCAGTCATGTTTGACTCTAGGAGGCGGTGCTCATCCCCGTTTCCAAGCCATAGAGCCAGCGTTTGTCCAAAGACAATCTTCCGTGGTCACATGGCCAGTGCGACTTAGACACAGAAGGCTGTTACCTTCCCACTGAAGTGGTCCCTATTTATCTACTCGCATTTGCATGCTTTCGAACCGCTAGGTTGGTGGGAGCTGGGACAAGTGACGGGTGCTCACTCCGTCGCGTGGATTCGATCTTACGACTGCTGGTCTTCTGACCCTGCAGCACACAAAGGCTTCTGCGGTTTAGCCCACAGCGCCACCACGTCCCTTGAGGTAGCAAGCTAATATTCTTGAATGATCGTACTTTCATTCAGGATTATCTTGTCAGGATTATCTAAAGATCTTGGAAAAAAATACTTCTTTTGACTATACACCTCACAGAATCCCCAGATAGCATGACTCTTAGTCACGGGAGCTAGAACATTCTGAGTGCTGTTGTTCAAAAAAGGAACCTTGCAAATCTCTGTTTAATGCACAAAGGGGCCTGACTAGAGCCTGTTCAAACTCACACTACAATATCCTTGGCTGAAGAGTGAATACATTCAAGGAAGATGCAATTAACACTTAATTCCCTGCAGTTCAAAATCTATGTGTTACAATTCACTAATCCATTTGCTTTCCTTTGTGAATTCTTGGAGAGCTCAATACTTGTGCACTCCTTTGTCTTTATTAAAAGCAAATGTGTACCATCCACACTATAGTTTTGTGCCTCTGATGGAACGACAAGGGAAGTCTAGCATCTTCCTTGTGATAGAGCAGGGGCAGCTCACAGCCATCTTGTTTCATCAGTAGGCGGCAAAACAAAAGTACAGGAGGCTGGAACCCAAACAGACCCATGCAAATGGGCGGAATGCTGTATGTATCCCAGCATGTTGATTTCAGGAACTGTTTAGCAGCTGCTCCTCATAATTAAAATCAAGCTATAACACAGCATGGAATCTGTTCTTCAGAGAAAATAAAAGTAAGCAATCCTATAGGACAATTTGAATCCTGACCAGAATATTTAGGAATATGGATGTGGCCAGAGCAGCTGCACTAATTTGGACAGGGACTTCTAAATGAGCAAAAGTGATTAATTTCAATTGCAGGCTGAATTTGCCTTTTTCATATTTCTGCCACTGCTCAGAAAAGTTGGAATGAGTCTAAATGGCATGTTATGTGGTTAACAGAATTGTCTGAAAAAGCAAATGAGTGTATATGTATTTCGTTCCCTTAGAGGTCCACATTCCAGTAAAGAGGTGCTCTTAATAGTTTCCGTGTGTTGCCAGGTTGTGGAAGAAAAAATTCTTCTAGAAACGTCCTGGGGTAAAAGGGCAGCTAAGGTTTTGCTAGAAGCACCTGCAGCTCATGCTGGTGCACATGTGTGTGTGTACATGTGTGAGTATGCACACTTCGCAACCTGTATTATATTGTATGAAATGGGTTTCAACAAGCCCCATCACCCATAGTGGTAGGCAACTGTTGTCCTTCAGATGTTTCTGGCCTGCAATTTGTAACTTACGGACTACATCACAGATTCAACTCATACAAAATGGATGGATATCTCACACCCAATTTTCTACTTCTGGGTAATGTGAAGCATACTTTATAGCAAGAAGGTCAGGTAGGATGTTTTTCAACATTTTAGCCAGGTGCTGAGGAAAAACATATATAACTGTACAATTATTCTGCAGTGACAGACTCAGTACATCATCATAGAATGAAGCCACCTTACATTACAGATAAAGTATACATAATGGCACCATTGAATTAGCCAATCCTGTCCACATGTTCCAATGAATAAGACCCTCTGAAGTTGATGGGACTTAAATGTCTGTATAGCATGTCTAGAACTGGACTGAAGGCTATTTGTTTTATATTTTCATTCATTCATGGTGTACAAAGAAATTCCTGGCAAATTCAGTGCTGTATCGGTGAAATTGAATGAATGTCCCAAGATCATCCATCCAGTGAAGAGCTTAGCTGTGGTTAAACTTTGGGTTTCCTATGCATGGAACATCTTCTAATGTGGCTGGTACATTCAATACCACTTTGGACTCGATCAAAGTGAGAGTTAACAGTAGACATACAGTAATGTTTGATGGGAGTTTGGTCTTTTTGTGCCTAAGGAATGTAACTTGGTGTCCTATGAGATACTTTAGAATCTAACAGTAATAGCAATAATTGCTTGACTTCATTATGTCTGTACTGTATAATACATTGATCTGCATTCATTGAAATTGTTTCTGGTGGATTTGTAATAACAAGACTGAATCCTCTTAGCTAGCTAGATCTAAGAAAAGTTCAAGATGTCAACCAAAATGTTTAAAAATTAATAAATTAGTTGTCCCTTCGGCTAACATTTCTAATAGGAAAAGGGCAAACAGATGTCACGTATTATACTAAAAAGAAAAAATATATTTTAAACTTAAAAGTCTGAGTTCAATTTGATGGCTCATAAACTGAATCCTGAAAGCAAATATTTTTTATGGTTCTAGATGAATATACAGACAACGGTGAGAGAGCATGAGTTTT